TAGTGGTAGTAATAGTAGTAGTGGTAGTAATAGTAGTAGTGGTAGTAGTAGTAGTGGTTGTAATAGTAGTAGTGGTAGTGGTGGTAGTAGTGGTAAGTAGTGGTAGTGATAGTGGTAGTGGTGATAGTAGTAGTAGTGGTTGTAATAGTAGTAGTGGTAGTGGTGGTAGTAGTGGTAAGTAGGTAAGTAATGGTATTGATAGTAGTAGTGTTATTGTATAAGTAATGGTATTGATAGTAGTAGTGTTATTGTATTAGTGGTGGTGGTAGTAGTAATAGTGGTGATAGTAGTAGTGGTGGTAGTAGTAGTAGTACTAGTAGTAGTAGTAGTAGTGGTGGTAGTAATAGTCGTAGTGGTAGTAGTAGTAGTAGTAGTGGTGGTAGTAGTGGTAAGTAGTAGTAGTGATAGTGATATTGGTAATAGAAGTAGTAGTGGTAGTAGTAGTAGTAGTAGTAGTAGTAGTGGTAGTAGTGGTAATGGTATTGATAGTAGTAGTGGTATGGTAGTGGTGGTGGTGATAGTAGTAGTGGTGTGGTAGTGGTAGTAGTGGTTAGTAATAGTGATAGTAGTACTGGTAATAGTAGTAGTGGTTGTAGTAGCATTAGTAGTGGTAGTAGTGGTAATAGTAGTGATAGTGGTAGTGGTGTTGGTAGTAGAAGTAGTAGTAGAAGTTGTAGTAGTAGTAGTGGTAGTGGTAGTCGTTGTGGTAGTGGAAGTCGTAGTGGTAGTAGTAGAAGTGGTAGTGGTAGTAGTAGTGATAGTGGTATTAGTAGTAATGGTGGTGGTAGTAGTAGTAGTAGTGGTAGTCGTGGTGGTAGTAGTAGTAGTAGTGGTAGTCGTGGTGGTAGTGGTAGTAGTAGTAGTAGTAGTAAACTGTTTCACCCAGTCCAACTCGTTTATGTAATCACAAAAATAAATTATGGACTGCACTTGCTGTGTCTGTCGAAACACTTCTTTATTTAAACAGTGAGGAAAATTTAAAACTCAGCAGCAGAAATATCGGAGCTGCGTTTCTAACTTTCTAATTCATCTCTCTGTCTCGGAGTGTACACACACAGAACATGCCCTCAGCGTCACGTCACTGTACAGGTTGCCAGGTCTGACATAATTCAGGCCAAACGTATAACAAAAGAAATGAGCTCCAGTAGTGAGTACCACAGTCTGAAGATGCATGAATTGTCTCAAACTCTTTCAGCTCTGCCGTCAAAATGTCAAGACAGATATAAAGACAGGAAAACCTTTCTTTGACCCTAAATTATTTCTGACATTTCAGAGTCTTAACTTTTTAAAAAACTAGTGAATTGAAGCTAGATGAGCCTGAATGTTAAAATAAAATAACATTAAAGGACATAAATATTGGAGGGATTTCTCATCCTTCCCAACAATTATCTTGCTGGCCCACTGCCTACAGTTGCAGTAAACTGCAGTGGACAAAAATAAACATGATCTTATTACGAGGTGCAGCAGTGTGTTTTCATGCTAAAGGTCAAATATGTAGTGTGCAAAGCTCTCTGTAGGTTTGGGTGGGTGCAGCTAATTATTCGTGCTGCTGTGAATGAGACGTGCTGCTGTGCTTTAGGCCCGCTGGAGTGAATTCAATATCTCATAAAATCAAGTCTGCACTCTGTAAGAAAAGAGCTATGTATTATAGAGTAGCCTGCAGATACAAAGATGATCCGGGCAGAGAGAGTTTTCATTTCACTTCTTTCTCCTGGAGCAGTTTGTAAGATTTGGTTTTCTCAGGAAGGATATAAAGCCGCATTTCATGCAGCTTTTCAAAGAATTAAAGAGGCTGCAGCAGGTTCAGGCTGAAGCACATCAGACGTTTTATGGATCAGATTTCACAAGTAGCTGGATTTGGTGTCAAGTTTTGAACTGTCGTGCTTTTTTAATAATTGTATGTTTTGGTTTAATGTTTTTGTTTGTGCATTTGGTTTGTTCCATTTTACTGAAGAACACTTTGTGTAGCTTTAACTTGATTGACTGTCCAGTTGATTAAAGCTTTTAGTCAAAGCAGGAGGATCATCAATAATAAAATAATTAAAAAAATATATTTTAGGCAACACTTATCAGTTTGATGCTGTTAGATTGTCAATAAAAAAGCAATGAAGTAAATAATGAAATATAAATGTTGCGTCTGAGAGGAATTCATTTTATGTGTTCCTAAAACTGATCCTGAAATTCAGCTTGACCATTTTTATTACTGAGGTCACAGTATCGGCCCTAATGTTGTGAGTTTGGTTTCATCTCTTTAGTTCTAAAACCACAGCTTTTTAAATTATTTTATGTTAGATGTCAGCAAAATGTTGACTTTTTAAATGTTTCAGCTTTAGGCTATTTTGTTTTATGCTACTATGAATAATAAAAACACACAAGCACCTGACATTCAAAAGAACAATAAAGCTGGTGTCTTTTTTATTCATTAGTTGATCTTTAGCCAGAAAAAAAAAAATTATATCCAAGTTAACAATTTGAGTCAGGTCCTCTGGACGGATTCTTCTTTTTTTTTAAACGATTCGTCTTTTATCCTAAAGACTTTCATCAGTCTGAGGAGCTGCAACAAACTCAGTCTTATAAATAGACCCTTCTTGTAGTGGATCAACCAGTTTGTTGCTGACATCCAGAACTAGCTGCCTTGGAACCGTGCCGAGTCGAGTTGAACCGTGCTGTACTGTTATGAGTGGAAAAGGGGCATTAGTGTCCATGTTTGACAGGCGCTCTACTCAGAACCTTTCCTGTTAAATCCAAAGATTCCTCTTCTGATGTGGCCACAGACTAACAATCCTAATCTGATTTTCTGACACTGCCCGGGAAAATTTTTAACATGTGGATTAAAAAACACAAAAACACAATGACTGTCAGAGAGTTGTGGGCAGTGAAGCTTCATGAAGTCATCGTGAGTCACAAAGTAAAATGGAGGGGGTGGGAGGGTTGACAGCTGTCCCAGGCATCCTACTAAATAATCAAAGAGAGGTGTGGGTGTTGGGGGGCTGTTTAAACACAGAAACACCTCACCTTCTCTAAGATACTTCTAAAGCATGCTCATTATTGTGGAACTGCAGTCTCTGAGCAGAGGATGTTGAGGAAACTGCTCCAGATCCTGAACATGTCACGCCCCCTGCATGACACACTGGACTGCCCACTGCATGACACACTGGACTGCCCACTGCATGACACACTGGACTGCCCACTGCATGACACACTGGACTGCCCACTGCATGACACACTGGACT